AACCATTTTTGGTGCTTGTTATATCCAAAAGAGACATCGAAATTGACATTTCCAGATATCATAAATCTTCTAAATGAGGGTTTCGATATCTCCTGAATCTGGGAGATATCAATATGAGTTTGATATCTCTCTCAATCGTTGAGCATTCTCCACCACCAGCTACCAATGTCACCGTCAACAGCCCCCGTTGTCAATCACTCCTATCACTAATTAAATCATGATATTAAATTTCTTCAAACTTCATTTCAGATTTGAAAACCTATACCATTTCTAAAATTTCAAAACTTATACTTTATCATACATTTAAAACTCGACAATTGGGCCTTAAATTGAACTAAAAACTTGGGAGAACCCTCTCGATAAAAGTAAACAACGATAACCTAGTACAATCCCACGGAAGTAGGGTCTGAGGAAAGTGTGTGTACGTGGATCTTACCCCTACTCGAAAGTAGAGAGAGTGTTTCTAAGAGACCCCCACCTCAAATAACACAGAAGCACAAATCAGAGCACGTAGAAAGAAACATAAAGTAGGCAAAAAAAGACATACGAGTACATTGTTAATCACGAAAGCATGCATTGTTAAGCGCACTGTCCAACTATCCTAATTCTATCTCTGCAAACACTCCTATGTAAGGTCAAAAGTCTAAGGCCTTGGCCAACCACGTCTTTCCAAGTCCTCTTAGGTCTACCTCTTCCCACATTCCCACCCATCACAAAAAGCATTTCATTATAACTGTGATCACAAAAATAAGAGTTCTAAGTCTTTTAAGATCAAGATAAGAGTTTACATTGTCATTGTTACACTGACACACTTATCACATTGTCACATTATAACTGTCGCACAATTATTGTCGATCACACTGTTATCCATCGCCGCCGGTCACCAAAGTGTCGTCGCCACAGATCGCCGATGATTGACTGATCAGATTGTCATATTACACTAACACCACCATTCCATCACATTGTTAACACGTACTCTTGTTACATCACATTGTTATTATACTCATATTTTGGTCGTAAAAGACTTTACACTCCTATTTTGAAATTTTCATACTTTTTTACTCAGATATTTATTTAAAAATTACTCCATACTCCGTAGCTATTATTTGAATTGAAAGGTCTTGAACAAAATTATTCCTATGAGATTAAGAGAATAATAATAAATCAAACTTTAAGAATATTGGTTTAACATCAAAATAAAATTAAAATAAAATCTTATTTTTCAGAAAGTTGAACTGTTGTTTTTTTTAGGGACTAGTGATCATGATTTTAATTTAGATGCAAAGGTAATTGATTATTCAAAACGGTAATAAAACCAGATGATTTCAAATTTAAAACTAAAGTAGATTATGACTGTTTTGGAGCATGATTTCTATTAATAGGCCATTATAAATATTTTTTTTATAACCATTATAAAAAGGGTATATTTTTAAACCATTATAAATATTTTTTTTATTTATAATTAGAAGAAAGGGTATATTTTTACTAATTAATCTTCTCTTTTTTGTTTTTTGGGATAAAAAGTAAGATGAATCTTTCATATTAACGGGTTAGGAAAAAAACAAATAGGATTTGAAATTAATTACTAATAAAGGGGTGGTGGGCCGGCAGCGGGCTTCCAAAAAACAGCTCGCCTACTTTTAACTTTAAACTATCCAATAAGGGCTACAAATGACATGTTTTGTCCCATATTTGGATATCCATTACTATTCCTGTTCTACAAAACAGTTCCTATTTTAATTTTTTTAGAATTTAATTTTGTAGTTTGTCTTTTCAATTATATCATTATCGTAAAAAAAGTGACAAATTACTTAAATCACTTATTATATCAATACAAAATCGATGGAGTATATTAGAATGATTTTATTTGGATATATTAACCATTTTAATCAAAAAAAGGAAGTGTTCTGATGAAAGCGTAAAAAATGAAAGAAGAAATATTTTACCAAACGTTGGGAGTTTTATATTTGGAAATTGGAATTGAACTTGTCCAACACAAGATGCAAATTTCAATAATATGTTACAAATAACAAATCATGCCTATCTAAGGGCCTCTTTGGTTAGAAAGGATGGGAGGAGAAGGAATGAATATGAGAGAATAGGAAGAGATGAGAAAGATTTTCTTGACCTTGTTTCATTAAGACGGGTGAAGAATTTATTTTATTTTTTCGTTAGGAGAGAAGAAGAAGAGATGAGAAGAATTTATTTTATTTTTTAAATTTTAATTTTAAAATTTTGTTTTTATTATTTTAATTTATATTACTTATATTATTTTATTTATATTGTTTTTAAGTTTTTAATTTAGTATATGTTTAGTTTATTAATTTATTGTTATTTTTATTTTTTATTTTATTATATTTTTACTTTTTATTTGTTATTTTATGATGATTTTTTATATTTTATATTTTACTATTTTTTAGTTTTAGTTTTATTTTAATTTTTTAATTCTTATGCATTTACTTTGTATTTATTATTATTACTTTATTTATTTTTATAATTTATATTACTTATTTTATTATTATAACTTCGGCTCCCTTCTTTTGACAACAATATTTATTATCATATTATGACAACAATGATTACAATGCTCCATTCAAAAAAATGATACCCCTAACCCCTCCTTCCTAAACACCATACCCATCCTCTTCCCAAAATGCCAATTGCCAATTGGAGTTTTGGAGAGGGTGGCAAGGGGTGGGGGGTAGGGGTAGGGAAGGGAGGTAGACGAAGGAAGAGATACGAATCAACAATTTTTTGACCAAAGAACCGTAGGCATTATTGTCATAATATGACAATAAATGTTTTTAAAAATTAATTTTTACAGGACATTTGTTGCGTAGTACTTATAATGTTTTATTTTATTCTCACATTATTTATTTATTTATTTATGTTTATTGTTTGTTTTTAGTTATTATTGTTTGTTTTTATTTATTTGATGCAATAAATATTTGATCATTTAAAAAATAGTCTAGTCATTTCTTATTTTATAGTATTTAATAAGGTTAAGAAGCAATTTTATCCATCTCTGAATGTACACCCAATGGATTATTGGATCCATATTGATGCAATGCGATGATCGGGCCGAGGTACAGAGAACAGAGAACAGAGAACAGAGAAACGAATCTCTGTTAAAAAAATGTAGAGATTAAAATATATTTTTTATATTTTATTTAACATTGATATTGAAAATAAATATAATACAAAGTAACTCCATTTAAGCATGTCCTATACAAATATAAGTTTTTTAGAGGTTAAGAAAGTATTTTTTAGGAAAGAAAATTTTATTTATTCATTGATAGTTTTATTATAAATGAAGTATAAAAATATAAAGTTATATTATTTAAATAAATATAATCAAACTAACTTTGTTTAAAAGCATCACAAAGAAATAAAGAGTATAAAATGTATTTATGGGTGAAGAGATTTTTTATAATTATATTTTTTTTAATATTTTAGTCGCGTTATATATTTATTTTTAAATTTTGTAATGTAGTTATTGAAATTGTATTGTTTGTGTTTTAATTTCACATTATTATTAAAAAAGAATACAAACTAATTTGATTTTAACATATAATACACAAATACGCGCATGAAAGTTATTTCGACGTAAAAAATCATCTTATTTATTAAATAAATGTTCTTTTACAAATGAAAAGATTAACAAAAACATTGTATTGAAGTTTTATGCTCCCTCCGTTCCTTAAAATTCTTCCTCTTTCATTTTTTTCGAATTCTCTAAAATTCTTCCTTTTTCTATTAAAAAATCAGTTTTACCCCTACTTTTTTATACCATACCTTTTACATCATACTTTTTTACTAATAACCAAACTATCACATCTTACTTTTACCTATCACATCAGAGGCAAAATTGAAAAGTGAACCAAGATTACACTTTTCTTAGTTTGGCTCAAAGTCAACACATGAACCTTTTTAGGGAACGGAGGGAGTATAATGTAACAAAAACATTTGTTATAATAGAATAAAGTACAATATGAACTTGAGGGGAAATGTTAAAATATGTTTTAGGGTTTGATAGTTTTTCTATTATTGTTATACTAGTAATAGGATTATCACATTATGGTAGGAATAGAACTTGCATATTTTTTTTACTCTCTTTTATATAAAAAAAGGTTCAATCTTTATAATCTTCAACACAAATCAATATAGAATTGTTCTACATTATTATATTTTACAAATCTCTCCGCTTTCAAGTAAACATATCTAGGGTCTGCATATACGTTCCCTCTCCAGACTCAATTTTTTTTATGACTCAACTGAATCGTTGTTTTTACATTTGTAGAGTAGTTAGAAAGTGAATGATTTATAAAAAGTTAATAAAAATTGAAGGATTTTATATAAATTAATGAAAACAATGGTTATTTTATTTTAGAAATGAAGTATTTCATATAAATTTAATAAAAATAATAGTTATTTAAAGTTAAGATGTAAAGAGTTTTATAAAAAAAATTAATAAATACTCCGTACGTATATGTTTTATATAACGTAAAATCTGTTATGCACACATGAGTACATGACATAATGCGCATGTATGACTTAAAAAGTTTATACAAAATTAGTGATCATTACATCAAAAAAAATGAGAAAAATTATTCTTATTACAAAAAATAAAATAACAAATGTCAAATTGACTAATTAAGTGATGAGACATAATTATGCACATGTTATCCTTCAATCAAGGCAACTTCACTTTGCAAAGAGCAGTTCCATTTTAGGTAGAGTAATTAACATTTTGATCAGCATGTAGATTCAGCAAGTTGCACAAATCAGCCCAAAATGAAAAAGAAAATCAGCGGAGTGCAAAAAAACCGAAGCGGTCAACAACCTCTGAGATTTTTTCTTGTTTCTTTATATTCGCTGGGTTTGCTTTTCTTTAGCATTTTCTTTTTTCTTTTTTCTCATGTACAGTGCAACAAAAACGACAACAGAACCGAAAGCGTCTGTTCATATATATTCATTCACACCCCCTGAATCAATGCAAACTCTGTTCCCCGCTTTCCTCTTCTCTTTGTTTCTGGCGATTCGATTGGCTCGCCGGAGGGCCGAGTCACTCACCGGAGACGGCCGGTTGATTGACGGAACGAACCTGCTCTGTGGGGAGGTAAGGATCGCTTCCATTTCTCATGCAGTGTGAAAAAAAAAGGAATTTTTCTTTCTGGGTATTGTCAATTGTCCGGCCTGGGTTTCTGGGCGCGTGAATCCGTGATCAGATTTGCTTCAGATCTGATAATGTTGAACCGGAGAGCGGAGAATCTGGGGGTGTGGGTGTTTTCTGGTTAGTCTTGCTGGGAAATTTAATGTTACTGTTGTTCGAAGTTAGGGTTTGGGTTTTGTGCATTGATGGAGGGAAGTGTGAGGTCAGTGGGAGTAGTGAAGAAGAGAAGCTCTTCTGGTTGTTTGATTATCAAGAAAAAAGATGATAGAGTTGGGGGCATGGGAATGGGAGGGATTCATCCTTCAGGATCTTACCAGAGGGATAGCAAGAGGGCCAGAATGGTGATGCATGATTCTGATTCTAGTGATGAGTTTCCAGAACCTGTTAGGAGGAGAGCTGGGGAGAGTTCTCATCTTGGTCCAGTTATGTACAGGAGTGGAGAGATTGAGAGAAAGAGGAACAGATTAGGTGTATTTGAGTTCAATGAGACCATGAGGAATGGGTATCAAGGTGAGAGATTGGCGATGGAATTCGAGAACAGGCCTATTAGAAATGTGATGGCTGAGCAGCGGAAGCATTCATATTTTGATAGCTCGGGTTCAAGTAAGGTGTCGAGTGGCAGGACCAGAGGTGCTTGTTATGGTGATGAAGAAGTGCATTTTCCCATCCCGTTGATGAAGCTGAAATATCAGGCAGCATCTGATGAACCGATTAGACTGCAGGGAAAAAATGGGGTCTTGAAGGTTATGGTGAATAAGATTAAGAAGATGGATTTCTTGCATAATAATGAATCCCGGAATGTTGAAAATAGGAAAACTTCCATGCCTGAGCACTTCAGTGAGCCAAGAGTGCAGCAAACACTTTATGCTGATTCTATGTCTAGTGAGATGGAGAAATATGGCCTGAAATCCCAAATATCATTTGGGGAAGAATCAACATCAACTGCAGATTCAGATACAGAGGGAACTCACACGTCACATAAGTCGACCCCACCAAGCTCCTTTGCGGCTGTTAGCTCAATTAAAGGGGTAAAAGAAGAAGAAGCAAGACCCCTTGCACCGGAAACTGCATCAGTAGTCAACAAGGAAGGAAAAGTGAAACGTGGGGGAAGCACTGAAAAACAGCAATTGCGGGAGCGAATTAGGGGAATGCTGATTAAGGCTGGATGGACTATTGATTATAGACCAAGAAGGAACAGAGATTACCTAGATGCTGTTTATATTAGCCCCAACGGAACAGCTTATTGGTCAATAATCAAAGCCTATGATGCGTTTCAGAAACACTTGGAGGACAGTAAGAAAAAATCCGACGGCAATTCTCCACCATTTGCCCCTTTGTCAGCAGATTTAATAAATAAGCTGACAAGGCAAACTAGAAAGAAGATTGAGAAAGAAATGAAAAAGAAGAAAATAGATGAAAGCATGAGTAGTAGAGATAATAAGGCGATGTCATTAAAAGTGTGTGCTGAAGGAATAGATCATCACGACGAAAGACTTGATATCTATGGAAAGAAGAACTGCAAGCAAGTTAATGGAATATTTCATATAACCAATCAAACAGACGAGTATTACAATAGCTTGAAAAGTGGCAGAAATTTAATCCCCGGAAAGAAAAGCCAAATAACTGGGAGGTGTACTCTGTTGGTTCGGAGTTCTGACATAGGGAAACACACTGAGAATGGTGATTATGTTCCATATTCCGGGAAAAGAACCTTGTTGTCATGGATGATTGATTCTGGGACTGTTAAACTCAGTGAAAAGGTTCAATATATGAGCCGCAAAAAATCAAGGATAAAGTTAGAAGGCTGGATCACGCGTGATGGCATCCACTGTGGTTGTTGTAGTAAAATTCTCACGGTTTCTAAGTTTGAGCTCCATGCAGGGAGTAAATTGCGTCAACCATTTCAAAATATTGTTTTGGAGTCTGGAGTTTCTCTATTGCAGTGCCTTGTAAACTCATGGAATAGGCAAAAGGAGTCTGAATGCCGAGATTATTATGCTATAGGCATCGACGACGATGATGACCCAGCTGATGATGCTTGTGGCATCTGTGGTGACGGTGGGGATCTGATTTGTTGTGATGGCTGTCCATCAACTTTCCATCAGAGCTGTCTTGGTATAAAGGTACACATGAATCACAATCTCTACATCTTAATATACTTATGCTCAATTGGGACAGTGATTCCTAAAGTCCTCGGTCACAATGGTATGTAAATTTATTTCTCTGAGGGTGTGTTTAGTAGGAGGGCTCAGTCCATATCTTCATATTTGTTGAGATTTTATCAAAACTAAAAGATTAAACATAATATATGATCGTATAAGAGTTCAATGACCTCTTATTCTGTTTTAGAAATGTTCTATTTATCTAGACCGATGCATTGTTTGGGAAAAACATTTCAATTAGCATTAATGTTTTGGATAATCTTTTAATGGTGCGGATTAACTTTGAAAACACTAAAACTAAACACTGCATATTAGATAGCCTTTTCAATTCGCTGAAGTTAGACGCTGAAGCTGTTTCCAAACGGACACATTTTTCAAAAGAACTACTACTTTAGCATTTTTTGCTCTACCCTGGTTTCTCAAAAGTGAACCCCCTCCCCTAAAGACAAGAAAGAATGAAATAAAATGCCGCACTGGGATGAATGTCACATGCACTTGGCAAATTGACTACTATGTTAGCCTAACATATATGCATGGCGTGCTTCAACTCACTGCAGATGCTTCCTCTTGGCGATTGGCATTGCCCAAATTGCATATGCAAATTTTGTGGGGCTGCTGATGAAAATCCTGCAGAAGTAAATAAGGATGCTAACAAGCTTTTAATTTGCAACCTCTGTGAGAGAAAATGTAAATTACTTCACAAACTTCTCTTCATGCATTCTCAAATACTTGGTTTTATTGTGTTTCACATTGCCTTCTGTGAAATTGAAACTCCAGATTTAATTTTACAGATCACAGGTCATGCAGGCAAGAGAAACATGCTTTATCCATGAATGCTAATACTTTGTCAACTTTTTGTGGCCAAGCATGCCAAGAGGTATGTACAGGTCAACAGTCGTTAGACTGGTTTTCTAATGGAAAATCATTTCTTTTGATTGTCCCTGAAACTGGTGTCATCTGGCAAGTATAAACTGTCCTCATACATCTGCTGTTCAAGTGTTTAGATGGAGGAGTTTGTAGGGGAAGGCTTTTTAGTGCTTCGTCCATATCTTGATCCACACACACATGTTTAACATTTTTTTTAAATAAATTGAAACATCAATATAGTGTGTGGCTGTATAACTTTTTAATTTTCTTCTATAAGTTTTTCTAAAACATTCTACAGAGTATTTGTTGTCCCCACACACTCACACACACTAAGCCCTCCAAACTCCTACCAAAACATCCAAGCAGACCCCTAGAGATTATAGTTTTTTTGGCATGAAGATAACTTTAGAACCTTTGCTCCCATCATCGTGTGTAATTTGTTATTGGTCTTGATCTCATTCAAGGGAATTGCATTCTGAAAAACATTATAGCCTGTGTATATAACATACATAGTAACCATACTTTGCAGATTTATGATCATTTACAGAAGATTCTGGGCGTCAAACACGAGTTAGAGTCGGGATTGTCATGGTCTCTTTTGCAACGATCAGAACTCGATTATGATACCTCACATCTTTCCTTTTCCCAAAGGGTTGAATGCAACTCTAAGTTGGCCATCGTGTTGTCTGTAATGGATGAGTGTTTTATGCCCATTGTGGATCGAAGAAGTGAGATAAATATTATTCATAATGTTGTTTATAACTGTGGGTAAGCAGCTGCCTAGTAATCATTGAAAAAAAAGGTGTAACGAATGCAATTATTTCCTTATCATCTTTTCATCCGCTTCCTTTTGGCAATTGTTACTTTATTTTAGAGTAAATTCCATAAATGGTTCCTAATTACATGTGGTTTTTCATATCTAGTCCCTGATTCTAGTATATTTCATAAATAGTCCTCAATTTTTCAAAACTATTCCATACATAGTCCTTTAGGCCATATACGAAAAACATATTTTTTCCACAAATAGTTTTCAAAATTTGAGGACCATTTATGTAATATCTTAGAGGTGAAGACTAAATATGGAAAACCACCTATAATTAGGGACCATTTATGGAATTTACTCTATTTTTTTATATCATTTTGTGTGTGAATTGGGGTTCACTTTTCTCTTCTAAATTGTTTACCCGCATTAAGTTACTTTCTAAATTATTACTCCGTTTTCACCTGCAGCTCAAATTTTAGTCGTCTCAATTATCATGGCTTCTACACAGCAATCTTGGAAAGGGGTGATGAAATAATCTCCGCAGCATGTATAAGGTATTCTAAATTATCCAATATTTGTCAATGTGACACTTAGCTACATTTTTACTCAACTATTTGGCCATGTTTGGAACATGGAATAGTAGGAAGAGAACAAAAGTTGAACAAAATTTTGTAAAAACAGTGAACATATTTAGATTTATTAGTCTTTTATATTAGAAATATACACTTAAATTAGTTTGAACAAAGATCTTGAATTGTTTGATTGAGTTTGCAACTTTCTCGACTATCTTCCCCCAATTTTTTACCAAACATTTTTCGGATTCCAAATGAACTCTTGATGGTTGAAATTAACTTGAAAGTTACTTCAAGCAGGTTCATATGTTGTTTTTTGTGCTATTTATTGCTATGGTAATTATTAAGAACAGTAAATACTGATCACATTTTACTTGTCATTTTATTAGAATCCGTGGGGCACAACTTGCAGAAATGCCATTTATTGGGACCCGCCACATGTATAGACATCAAGGGATGTGCCGGCGGCTTTTCTCAAGTATTGAGGAGGTATGCATGTTCAGCTATTATTTGATTGGGTGATTTTTATTCAATTATTTTTAGGATGGTTTAACTACATTTGCCTCTCTCAAGGTTTGGTTACATTACAAAATGACCTTTGAGGTTTCTAAAATGGAAAAATTATCCAAAATAATCCCAACTTTACCCCGTCTTTCAAAAATAATCCCACCTTTCACTGTGATGCATAATAATCCCAACTTTACTGAAATTTGCCAGTTTTGGGTCGCCGTTAAGTTTCTAACGGAGGGTTAACGGAAATGCCCGTTTTAGGCAACAAAATGAAAGTTCGGATTATTTTTGATGAATTTTCATTTTTTTATTTTTTTTAAATTTTTTATTTAAATTTTTTAAATTACTTTCTACCTCCATCATCATTTCTTTTTCCTTTTTTANTGTTCTTTTAAAAAATAAGTACTACATTAAGACTCCGTATAGTGTGTAAAATGTTAAAACCTACCACTCCGTATATATTTATTTTATTTCTTACCAGTTTCTGTTTAATTTCTATTGATTACAATATTTATTCGATTAATTTTGTATGGTTTTAGTTATTTTTCTCATTTTCATTATTTTTTATATCTACTTTTTTTCTAAGGTAAGAATAATCTTTAAAAAAAAGAAATGGAGGTTGAAAGTAATTCAAAAAATTTAAATAAAAATTTCAAAAAAAATTAAAAAACAAAAATTCATCGAAAATAATCCCAACTTTCATTTTGTTGCCTAAAACGGGCATTTCCGTTAACCCTCCGTTAGAAACTTAACGGCGACCCAAAATTGGCAAATTTCAATAAAGTTGGGATTATTATGCATCACAGTGAAAGGTGGGATTATTTTTGAAAGACGGGGTAAAGTTGGGATTATTTTAGGTAATTTTTCCTAAAATTACAACAACAAAAAAAAAGACTAACAAACATGGGGTATCCGCGTTTCGGAGAATGACACACGCCCGTTTACATGTTAATCCAAAACGGAGACTTGAGGAGATGGTACCATGCCAATGTAGGCAGTTGATGTATGTTCATTGAAATTTTGGTGTCAACAAATCCTGGTTTATTGCAATGAATGACAACAACAATGCTAAATCTAGTTACTCCAAAAACTTTTTCTTCATTTGTGTCAATATTATATCTCTATTGCTATAAAATACTTCATGATTATGTGATTTTCAGGTCCTCTCCAGTCTAAGGGTAGAAAAGTTGATCATTCCTGCTGTACCTGACCATATCCATACCTGGACTATGATGTTTGGTTTCAAAAAACTTGAGGAATCAGACAAACATGAAGTGAATTCCATGAATATGTTGGTGTTTCCAGGAATTCATATGTTACAGAAGCAGCTGGTGAAACAAGAATCTTCTGACGGTAAAGGTTTCTCCTTTAGCCGTGTTTCATTTTCAAACACGAACCCCCTCGCTCCCCCCTCACACACACATTTTTGTAGTGAAACATATGTTTCCTAAAAGCAAAATCACATTCCAACTGCAGCAGCTGCTTCTGCATTCCAAGACAGAAATGGGGTTGAAGCCTTTAGATCTAACTTGGACACACCCATATCTCCAAATCTTAAACGGAGCTTAACGTTGGGCTCTTCGCAAGGCATAGAAGCAAAAGCCGAGGGTGGCTTTTTTACAAGAACTGCCCCTGGTTCTGCCCTCCAGGTCTCTGCTAAGTTCTGTGCAGCAGAGAAAGAGTGCAATGTCTCCCATCCCAGCAGTAAAATGTGCTTCCAACATGACCTGAATCTACAAGCTGACTTGATTTAGGATTTCCAAATTGTTGGTTTTGTTTTTTTCTTTTTGTTTCCAGTGTAAATTTAATTCTGGATTTGGTTGTTCTTGGCCAGTTCTTGATGCCTCACTGAGCTGGGAAACAACAATGGCAAGCAGCCAATGACATTATTAACACAATTTTCACCACAAGTATGGAACATGTTAAAACTGTAATTGATGGCTTGATGCATGTGTCAAGAGATTAATTAATCCTTGTTATAGGGTACCATTTCGGAAAGGATTTCATATCCTTCCATTGTTTCCTAAAGGATTTCATATCTATAAATCCAAACCTCTTCCCATGTCATTTACAAATTCAAGCATAACTTTTTTATTATTTATAACTTTTAATTCAAGAGTGGTCTCTCTTTATACAACAATAATTCCATACATATCAACCCGCTTCAATAGTCGTCTTTACCAACTTCAAAATTCAAATTCTAGAGTTGAAATTCTATGATTTTTTAAACAACATTTGAAACTTGAAAATATGAAATTTCAAATATTAGAATTGAAATCTAAAATTTCAAATGAATTTTAGTTTCCAAACGTTACCTAAATTCATTTTGTATAAGTATATGCTATTTAATTTTTATTTAAGTAATGTTCAAAGTTGGTTTAATTTGATAAGAAACAATCAAGGCAACTAAAATAAAAGAGGATTTATTTTTATGGTTCAACTAAAGGCTTTTATATGTGCACATTATATTGAAATAAATTTTATAAACGGTCTCTTTAAATAAATAGCTTATCATAGTTAGTTTTTAGCTTGAAGATATTACATTTATGGTCCTTAATTTTTAGAAAACTATTATGAATACATAATTAGTCATTTAGGCAAAATATGAAGAAAAACAATTCTTCACATAGTCTTCAAATGATTGATTATGGAATAATTTTTAAAAATTGAAGATCACGAATGCAATATCTTGGAATACAAGACCGAATATTAAAAATCATCTGTTACAAGGAACTATATATAGAATTAGTCTTTTTTAGTATTATTAATTCTATTGTACAATTTCTAATTCGAGTATATTTAATATTTAGTCTTTAATGTAGAAATATTACATTTGTGGTCTTCAATTTTAGTAAATTATTTATGAGTACATAATTAGTCATTTAGAAAAAATATGGTAAAGAAAATTATTCTACATATAGCCTTCAAATGATTAATATGGAATAATTTTTAAAAGTTGAAGATCACAAATGTAATATTATAGAATTGAAGACCGAAATGAAAAGTCTTCTGTTCCAAGGGACAATATATAGAGTTACTTTTTTTTAGTATTATTAATTCTATTGTACAATTTATAATTCGAGGATGTCTTCTCTCTTTCATAAACCCTCCGTTCTTGTACAAAATATTTTTAAAATATTATTTTATCTAATTAATATATACTCGTAATATATATTTTATTTAATTAAAGTTCAAAGATTAAACATAATATTTTAAAAAAAGTCAAAATTAGATAAATATAAAAGGACGGAAGTAGTAAAGAGACAAGGGTGAATTTTCTTTCCATCATCTTAAATTTTACTACGTAATTATTAATTACTCCCTTCGTCCTTAAATAGATTAAAATTTTTATTCTCTCCTCTCGATAACTTTTGTTTGTTTATGCGATTTCATTAAGTATTTGATAAAATAAAATATTCTTGTCACCTCTTGTTTTGTAGAACTTTTGACGTAGTTTTTTAATATGTAATTTTTACGGAGTATATCTTATTGATATATCAATTTGTAAAATAAAATTATTTCAAAAAATAAGAAATTTCACTCCGTAAATCACAATTTGTAATCAGGTAAAATAGAGTAATAGAGTGGCCTGTGGGCAGTGGCCGGAACTAATCCCGTCGGCGGTGTCGGCTATTTTCCTCTTTCTCTAAAACAAATGGAGCATTCCGTCGGTCGCCGCCTTCTTTTCAACTATCCCTCTTCGCCGCCACTGCAAAACTCCCGGCTCCTCCCTGAGAATCTTAATCTCCGGCAACCTCCGATCGCCCATCCACCAATTTCACTGCGCAGTAAACCACAGCCTTCGTTTTTACAGCTCCATAGCCTTTCTGCTACTCAAATGGACTCCCAGAGCCGTGTTCATTCACTCGGTAACGGCTCTTCCGGCGATTCCTCCGAATTCACAGCCGGTAAAACCTCATTTCCTCTTCCAATTTCAATTTTATGCATCGGATTAATGGAAATTATGCCTGAATTCCGTGGATTTGGAATTTTTGTGTGCGGATAGCTCGAATTGGAGAGGTGAAGAGGGTGACGAAAGAGACTAATGTGTTTGTGAAGATAAATCTGGACGGAACGGGCGTGGCTGACAACTGCACTGGAATTCCTTTTCTTGATCATATGTTGGATGTGAGTTTTCCTTGTTGCTTGTTTGCTCTTTTTCGAGATGAAAGATACCATTTTTTAATTTTTTTTGGAAAAAATTACACTCCGTAATGGGTTCTTCTAGTTCTAGGTCAAATGTTCTATATTTTGTTTGATGATTTCATGGTTAATGTAGGAAAAAGAAAAAAGTGAAATATTTTGAATTGTAAATTAATATGCTTGGGTTAACAAGACTCTTTTTTTTGTAATCTTCTTATCTTAGGGTTCAATAACATTGGGCATCTCAAGTTCTTGATATTTATTCGGATAAAAATTAAGTAGTATCCAAGTATCCATCTATGCTTAGTAGTGGATGGAAAACTTTTATATCATTGATTCATTGTGAATGCTCATCGCTCCACTATCGTGGTTCTCTTTCATTTATCTATTTCAAACACAATGCATTTTTCGACTTTGGGTGGACTCTTTTGTTTATAGCAAATTGCATCGCATGGGTTGTTTGACGTGCATGTGAAGGCCACGGGGGACGTTCACATTGATGATCATCACACAAATGAAGATGTTGGACTGGCCTTTGGAACCGTAATGTTTATTAGTGTGTTGCTTTATTGCACAAATGTTCATTATAAAAGATTGTCATTATAAGCATTGCAAACCTTCTGATTCAGGCTTTGTTGGAGGCACTCGGAGATAGGAAAGGAATCAATCGGTTTGGCGACTTCTCAGCTCCTCTCGATGAATCATTGATACATGTCGCATTGGTATGTCCAGAAATTCATAACCAGAGATCTTAAATTCATATGATAGCAAATAATAATGCTTCATCACCATGGGATAGCAGTTAATATGTATGGAGTATCACTTAAACATAGTAATTTTTGCATTTTTTTAAATTTCGATGCAGGATTTATCAGGAAGACCATATTTAGGTTATAATTTAGAAATACCTACACAGAGAGTAGGAACATATGATACTCAGGTAGCTTATATTGCATTGTTTGCTCACTTGAATATGATCATTTCAATTCTCATAATCGAAAGTTGTTTGGTTAGAATGACTGTATCACAACACCAAGTATCAAACATCTCTACATCCATAGCACTTTATATAGCGTCTGTTCTTTTGGGTAATGTAATGAATATAATTATTTTGAATATGGAATTTACTAGCTGGTAGAACACTTCTTCCAATCCATGGTCAACACTTCTGGAATGACAATCCATATACGACAGGTAGTTGAGTCAATCCTTTGAAATTCTGTTGCATTCTGGATTTCATCTAATCGACCCCACTCGTGGGATTCTACTAGGTTTCTTGTATTTATTCGTACCTTTGAAGTGATTCTTAAACCAATGTGATTGGAAACAGTTGGCTGGGAAAAATTCTCATCACATTATTGAGGCGACCTTCAAAGCTTTTGCAAGAGCCCTTCGACAAGCAACAGAGTATGACTCTCGACGTCGTGGAAGTGTGCCAAGGTTCTCTTCCTCTTCCTCTTCCTCTTCCTCTTATCCGCTCTGGATTACTCTTTCTTCTTCTTGCTGAAATTGAGATTTTACTGTGCAGCTCAAAGGGGGTTCTTTCGCGTGCTTGAAGTGGCTTAAGATTGCATGAAATCTGTATGCTGCAGAACGCCGCGGGTTATTATTGCCCGCTTTTATTGTCTAAATTGTTCTTGTTTTTTTGTTACATGCTTTCTTTAAACGCGTGGTAAAAATCACAGCTTCATATTAACAACTTGTAGTGTTTTGCAGCGTTGAATCAATGGAATACTTTTGTTCCACAATTAAGTAGTCAGGAAGTATATGATACTCCTAGATTGTTTTGTTGATGTCTGATGTATAAACACCTATTAACAACGTTTGCTGGTTCTGTAACATTCTTTATTTTTAATTTTGTTTTTCCAGAACTTTAAAACCATGTAATTGTTGAATGGATTAACATTGTATAATAAGAAAATCTTCTCTTAGTTTTCCTAATATGATGCTCAATTGCCGGTTGAGTTTTCAAAATATGTTGTCCAGTTTAGCATTGTTGTCCCGTCTTTAAGGCACTGTTTGGCAACCAAAGGTGTGTATGTGTTTTTTCTTTCTTATTAGCATATTAAGTTGCATTTGTCGTAGGTCTCGTTTGGTGGAATCCCACTGGAATTATGATGTAAATAATGTCCATCCCGTACCGATATTGAACCATTTAAATAAGAGCAATCTGTGATAGATTTTGGTAGTATTTCGGAAAATTTAGACCAAAATAATGTTTTTACAAGATATTTCAGTCAACGTAATGATTTTTCATTTACAGTATCTTACATGAACGCTTATTTTTGTTACAAATAATCTTCTACTTTCTTCAGATCGTTTAAGATATCGGCTTTAATATTCTCAGGAAGGGGTGCAGAAGGGCCAGCCTGCGAGTAAAAGTTGGCTAAACGTCTTATTGCTATCTCCAACATCTCGTACGATTCCTGCATTTTCCAAATCACCAAACATTGCTTAAAAGAACGTGTTTCTTAAGAAAGTTTGAGAAGCGATTGTTTTGACAACAGAATCTAAAAGCAAAAACGCCGTCTGAATGAAAATCAACTGTTTTTTTGGGACAGATGGAGTAAAGTTTTTTTTACCTCGTGGACAACGGTTCTCTCTCCTCTCCACCCACCCAAGAATCCTCGAATCGACTCCCTTGCAGCATCGGCTGTCCTCCTGAACTTGGACATGTCATTGGGATCCTCCTTTAAGGATTCACGCAGGGTCCTAACCACTTCTTTCACTGACTTCAAGTAGGCCTTCGGCAAGACTTTCCCGGATTTGGTTCTCTCTTTTGGGTCGAACAATGACTTGAATGCCCCAATGACACCCCCATCATCTTCTTGTGGCTTTGATTCTTCTCCACCCCAAGCTGGTGACAAACCAAAGCTGCAATTGTTTAGTGCTATGAACCATACAATTGGGGTTCTACTACATCCTAAAAGAAGTTGGCGACGAGATTGCCCTTCCCCAGAGAACAAAACATGATGCCTTTGTTTCAGTGTATCTGTTACAACATGAATAAAGAAGACTTTGAAGAAAAAAATTATTGAATATCTGAAAAAATGAAAATGAGAGAAGAAACACCATCACAAGCTACCCAAAAATTCGTTTTACAATAAAGTATTTGAACAATTGAGCCTTGGTCAAACCCATTATCAGAAGTTCGGAACATAGTCATTAGGACTCGATCAAGAATTAATCACCATAATCAAAATATGAAACAAAATAATCAACTCCAGAGTTCATATGAAATTATGAATGTGTTTAAACATGTTTCCAAGAGAAGTGTGATTTTGATTGTCCACGGCTTCTTATAATTTTCCATATTATATAAAGAGTATTTGGCTTTTAACCATATGAAAATATGTGCGCGTTTGATAGAGCTAATTTTGGAGCTTAAAAGACAATTTAAACTCCAAAAAACATATTTGTCGTATTTGGCAAACAGAACAAGTGGTAAAAATTAGCTCTTGTAGGAGAAGCCATCTTCTATAGCAGTTCAGAATGAAATTAACTCCCAACTTATCATATTTTTCCGCTAATAACTTCACTCTTTTACAAAAATTACACTCCTTTTCTGCCTTTTTACATAAAGAAATCAACTAATGATAATTTTACCATGAACTTCAAAACCAATAAAAGCTTTCAACTTCCAGCTCAAAGCTACAAGATTTTCAGCTTTCAGCTCATAGCTACAAAATTTTCGGTTTTCAGGCCAAACTGACCCAAAGAAGAATAGTGCCACTAAGGCAAGACTAGTTACTTACCGTCAGTGGCATTTTTACACTTGTTAGCAGAGCTGAAAACATAGAAGGGGGACATCTTAATCTCGACAGGTAGGAAGAAAGCCATCCCGCAAAAGTATCTCAGCTCAAACTACCCCACAAAGAAAGGGAATAATGTACCTATACACGAACACATTAGTTTTCTCACACACAAACACACAAAGAAGGGAAAAAATGGTGTCTTTAATAACGTTCTTAGGCTCCATATTGGTAGCGAAATAAGCAGAATAAGGGCCATTCAGCAAGTGTGAAATTAATAAATCCTCTGATCTTTTTTTGAAAGGATTGCAAAAATGATTTCAGCCATACAAGAAGAAGCTCAAAGACTATGGGCTTGTTTGGAACCTTCAGTTTCAGCTGATTTGGGAAATTTATGATGTTTTGAGCTGTAAATGGAGTAATACACAATTCGATCAAACAGAAATAAAAACTTCTTTTTGACGGGGAGACTATGTGTTCTGTCCCCCCCCCCCCAGAAAAAAAATATCCTAGAGTTGGGGTTTATATCAGGTTGTTGTTGTAAATGTTTTTTCAACTTCATGCTTCAGTCCCACACTCAATTTCAAATACAGTTTTTGGCACAAGAAATGTGAAAGATATTTGGAGTATGTCCCTTACCTTGGCCAAGGTCTTTCCTAAAAGCTCCAAATTCTAATGATTATACCATTAGAGTCTCTCATGCTATTTTTTTTATTAGAGTCTCGTGGGCCCTTCCTTGGGCGTGGTTGGCCGAAAATGTTGTCCTTGATTTTGTTGATGTCTTGATTTCCATCATCTCCGATGGAGCCAAAATTTCACCATTTTTTGGCTTTGGGGTGTGATGTAATAAATCAAAATGGATCTCTAAACTGTCTGCGCTTCTTTAATTAATGAAGTAGCAGTTAGTCAAGTAATGCAACTTTTGACGTTGAGCCGGGGGTCTCTTTGGAAACAGTCTCTCTACTTTCGAGTAGGGGCAAGGTCTGCGTACACACACCCTCCCCAGACCCTACTCTTGTGGGATTTAACTGGATTGTTGTTGTTTTTGTTGCTCTGGCTATAAGGAGAACTTTGCTGAACTCCTGTAACATGAAAACTTTCCTTCATGTAAATATGAAAGTTCTTGGTGAACAAGACTTTGTTTGGGAACATTGTTTCTGATTCGTGTTAGCATTTTGAAAATTGGTGCATATTAACTTTGAAAGTGCTTAGGTCAAACACTATTGTTGGATAGCATTTTCAAGACGCTGAAGCTACACAACAATTGAATCCCACAAGAGTAGGGTATGGGGAGGGTGTGTTCACGCAGAGCTTACCCCTACTCAAAAGTAGAGAGGCTGTTTCCAAAGAGACTCCCGGCTCACGTCGAAAGTTGCATTGATTCACTAACTACTACTTCATTAATTAAAGAAGAGTAGACAATTTAGAGATTCATTTTGCTTTATTCCATCACACTCCAAAGACGCTGGAGCTAATGCCAAAGAAGCCCAAAACAATTTTATCACATTCTTGGCTAATAAGCCTAATAAAACATGATGGGCTTCAACATTCTTGCCCCATGACCCTAGCACCTACCTCACCATCACTTTCGGGTCGGGGTCATCCCAACCCATTTCGCGTCGGCTCGGACCCTTATCAATTGTGTGGCCTTAAGCGTTATGGACTTAAATGCAAACAATAATCATGAAACGGGCGAGATATATTGGGCATAACTCACTACACACATTTGGCTCAGTCCCAATATACCCTATCAACTCTTATCAAACTACTAATTGAAGGCAATTAGGTAACTATATACCCTGCAAAAAATGCCATGTGAGTGAGGGGATAATGCTCAACTCCCATCTTTCCTTTGGATCTTTCTTGTTTAATCTTAACAAGATCGAAAGGAAAAACGTTTAAGCACCAAAAAATATCAAATAATGAAAAAAAGTTTATCATACAGAAAAATAGAACCAGAAGAATTTTTTTTTTGCTTTAGATTGAGTGATTATATAAGGAAAAATGTAATAACCCAACATTTAATACGAGAAATTGGATAAACTAAGCTCTTCCTTAAATTAAATAAACAGCAATAATATATATAGATTAATTTAAGGAGAAGACGAAGAAGAAAGAAACTGACTGACCTCGGCTTTCCCTCACATACAGCCTCTTCCCAGCACCGAACACTAAGATTTAAAAAAAAAAACTCTAAGGGACCAGAATGTCAATTTCCGGAAGAGTATTTTATACTTCCTCCTTCCCAAATTATTTGTCACATTTCTATTACCGAGACAAAATATTAGGTTTTTTTGAATTCATTTTATTTACATATTGATATTGGTAAAGAAATAAAAAATAAAAATTACATATTAAAAAACTACATGAAAAGTTTTTCAAAATAAGAGGTGTCAAGAATATTTTATTTTACCAAATAACCAATGAAAACGTCGAAATAAACAAAAGTTTCCGTGACTGCTGAAATAGTAAATGTTGTGAATATTTATACATGAAGGGAATAGGAGATACATGGAGAGGATAATATGGTAGTTGGATTGAAATTTTTGAAGATGAATAACTTTTACAAAGTATAACAGTATTTGTTTGAATAAAGGAGAAATGTTATACTCCCTATAATAATTATTTGACACAAAGAAGTTTGGTGATGTCCACTTACCTTATGGCACACCATCCAATGCACTTCTTTAATCCATTTTATCTTGTAATTTGTATATTAAAAAATTATGGAAATTATATATTAATAATCTATATGTTAAGACAAATCAAACAAGATCACACATGACTATATTTAGGCTTACACATTGAGAGAATTTGATGAGTCAAAGTGCTTAGATGAACAGTTCCAAAAGTCAAAAGTGGACAAAGACAGTGAGACGGAGGTAGTATTTCGTTGAGTTTGTTAGAATAAAATTTCTGTTCTAATGGGATTGCAAAGGGCAACGCCCTCCGGCAAGGGTCTAAAGGACAGAGCCTCTCGCTAATATTTATTTTGGACAAAATGAAAAAGAAAAATGATAGAAAAATTATAATTCATTTAGAGACGGTGTATTTAGAAAAATTACGGGATTTTACACGTTAAACAGATATTATAATTTATTTAGAGACGAGATATTTAGATGGAAAAGGTTAGTAAGAGCACCCACCGCATTGCAAAATACATCAAGCCATTTTTTTCCTTTTCCCGTACACGATTTTTTTAACAAAAAATGCTTGAGTACGTGTACCATTTACACTAGTGAAAATAAAAAAAGAAACTAGTGTAAATAAAAAAAGAAAAAAATAAATAAAAATATACGGTTACAAAAGTAGTGGTGTAATAACATTTAGCGTGCCCTAGCATTTACCTTTTTTTACTGGCCTAAAGTATTTTTTTTAAACGCCCCTACCATTTCAAGCTTATTCGGCGCCCTAAGCGAAAATTAAACTAAGAATCCTTAACTTATAATTAAAAAATAATAAAGCGTAATAAAATATTTTTTTCTTTAAAAAGATAGATTGTTGTAACGAGCACAATTATGTTCGATGGGCTCTTGATTAAGACATACTATTGGACTTTTTATATAAAATTTCGGGCCTCAAAAATTTATTGTGGGCTCATATGTATTTTCGGCCCATTAGAATGGCAAAGAGTGGTTTTGAATGAAAGAGACTGTTAGAGTAACCTAGGGTTTCGTCTATTAAAACCTTCCGTCCCCAAAATTCATCTTTTTTCAGTGAAACCCTCGGCGCGCGGCGGCTCTAAAGACCAGAGAAAAGAGGGACGGGCAAAGCAATCTGCAGCCATGGTGAGTTACTAGTTCATCGTTGATTGATGAGATTCTTATCTTGTTCTTATCTCTTGCGAAACCCTAATTCCTTTCTTCTATGATTCGATTCGTCGTTGTTTGCTGGCGCGCAGAGTCTGGTCGCCAGCGAAGATTTCCAGCACATTTTGCGTATTCAGAACACCAACGTCGATGGCAAGCAGAAGATCATGTTCGCTCTCACTTCCATCAAAGGTATCGGCCGCCGGTTCGCCAACATCTGCTGCAAGAAGGCTGATATCGACATGAACAAAAGGTCTCATCTTTCTCTTTTGCCTTTCAGATTTTTGAGTATTCTGTTTTCGCAGTGTTCATTCAATCTTCATTTCAATTTTGTGATCTGCCTGACAGCTAAAATGCTACTTCCGTCACTAAGTATATATATTCCGTGTCTTTGGTAATCCTTTTCTTGCACTAATCTTGTTCTTCACTCGGAATGGTATTATTAGAACTCACCATAGGACTGCTAGATTCTGGTTCATAGATCATCCTGGTAAAATTACACCAAAATTCAATATCAGGACATTATTGGTTTGAAACATCAAAATTAACCCAATTAAGTATTCTAAAACTAGTAAAAATGCAAGTTGTGTGATGATTAAGAGAACAATATTGGAGAGTTTCACTCATTCTGATGTCTTTACTTCTGGGAGTTTGACTAAATTTGTGTATCATGGTGAATGGGTTGTTGATGCAGGGCTGGAGAACTTACTGCTACTGAGATTGAAAACTTGATGACAGTTGTCACAAACCCTCGCCAGTTCAAGATCCCAGACTGGTTTCTTAACAGGGCGAAAGATTATAAGGATGGCAGCTATTCGCAGGTGGTCTCCAATGCATTGGACATGAAACTCAGGGATGATCTTGAACGTTTGAAGAAAATCAGGTAATAACTTTTGTTATAACTGTGATTCATGCCTTAGTCTTAGGAGAATCATTCTTTCATCGTGGGTGGATCACTAACCTTCCATACAATACTCTCTCTGTCCAGGTTTAATTGTTCATCTTTTGTAGAATCAGGTTGTGGAGTACATGATTTTTCCAACAGACTTTCAAGCATAATTCCAATTATTTTGTTACATGAAAATTCCAACACAGACAGTTAAATTTGATGTGTTTTTTAAACTTTACAACTATATTTTTTTATAGAGAATGATATTTATGCAGGATTATTTGGGAGCATCACTTTCAGTTAGTTATAGTATTCTGGGTATTTTTCTAACAGTGATGATTAACTTGAGAATGCTTAAGCTGAAAGCTAAAGCATTTACAAAATGGGCACACAAATAGATATATGGGATCAAATGCGTTACTATTGTTTTGAGTATCCCATTTAATGGGATCACCATATAACTAATTACCTCCCCCCACCCCACTCCCCACACATATTTCAGAATGTTTTCTTGGCTTTTTTTGGCGTGTAACTTGTTTTTCTAAATAATGAATGATAGGAACCACCGTGGTCTACGACACTACTGGGGTCTCCGTGTACGCGGGCAGCACACCAAGACAACTGGACGCAGGGGAAAGACAGTTGGGGTCTCCAAGAAGCGTTAGTGATTTCAATTTTGCTGCACCCAAGGTTGTCTTTTTGTTATCATGTTAATTTTTTTTAAGTTTTGGATTCCTATACGACAATTTGTGGTCTTTGCATGGACTACTGCTTGTTCCCTAAGTATGGGCTTTTAAGGGCTTCTATGTAGGAAGACTTGTGGTCATCATTGTTTGCAGTTACTTGAACTGAGTTTCTTTAACTTCTAAAATCTTCTGTTAATGGTTTCTATGTTTGTGTTCAGTTGGGGTTTGGAATATCATTGCTTTATTATCAAAGGCACACAAATTTCTAACTTTTGAACTATTTTCCTTCTGTATAAATTTGGCTCTTATATGCTTGAGTAAACATTATAAGATGATGAACGAGAAAACGTGATTGAAAGAAACAAATTGTGCGAACTAGTCCCTAGGCCTGCTCGTATCAATGTGATTGGAACTAAATAGATATACGAGAACAAGATTGATGAAGATGGAAATGTTATCAAAAACAAGACTTATCATATGAGGCTTGTTACTCTTGGGTAAAGTTGTAGGATTTGGCGTAGAGGATGTGCACTTGCTCTTGTAAAATGTTTGAAGTTGACACACGATGATTTGTAGGGCTCGTGCTCTTAACATGATGCTATATTGGATGGACGTGACAACAACCTTTCTAAGGCACTAAAGGATGGAAGATGAAAAACCTTTCTAAGTAATCATAGTGCCAATGGGATGATATAAGAGCACTCTTTGATATCATGAAGAAAATGAAAAATGTTTGACATGTGAATAACGTCTCTCCATTTTCCCTTCAAACGAAGGGAATAAGAAATTATGTCCAGAATATATGGTCAAATTGAGCTTGGGTGATAATCTTGGTCCTAACACACTACTAATAGTGCATAAAATGAAAAAAATATATCTTTTAAGATTGGAAACATTTAAAAATACAATTAGAAGCATAATTGGAGCCACTTTGAGACGTTCAGAACAAAATTATACTCTCCGTCCCAAAACAAAAAACCCACTCTTCAAATTGGGCATCCCAAAGTAAAAGTCCTACTCCTTTCCCAAAATGCTTCACGCTTTTGTTATTTGAAAGTTTTGATAATTTGTTTTTTTGTGTGTTTTTCATTAGTCATTTAATAAAGTAAAATATTTTTGTCACATATTGTTTAGTACATGTAGAACTTTTAATGTAGTTTTTAAATATGTAATTTGTACTTTCTCTATACTAATATATAGATAAATAATTCTTAAAAAGATGAGATTTTACATGATCAAACATTGTAAATGACTTTGGAATAGAGGGAGTATTTTCTTACTTGATAACTACCTCACAAAAATGTCATATTACCCCTACGTTTTCCTTTTTTATCCCTCTTTTCAACCACTCTTTTAAACACTTTTTTTCTTATTTCAACCACTTTTCACACTCTTTCTTAGATTTCAGTCAACTATTAAGGGCAAATTCAGAAAGTCAATACATTTTTCATTTTTTCCTTAAAAATTTTAAAGCCAAAATGAGATTTTAATTAAAGAATTCACACAAAATAGGAGTAAAACATATCCATTGTCTTCAAAATATGAGTGACATCATTTTATCTTCAAAATAAAAATTTATGTTGTGACTATGTGACATTGTATATTGACATTCCACAATGTTTTTTAGTATTATATATTGATATTATTTCTATTGTAACTCTTATTTTATAAATAAAAATATAAATATCATATTTTTGTTCTTTTTCTATGTTTTATTCCATCATTGATCTTTCTCTATTTTAGTTAAGAGAGTGTATAGAGTGAGAACATACGGGGAATAGCTCCTACCTACCGAGCCTCAGAAGACCGAGATGAGTTGAATGAGAAGAATGGCATGGAGAATTAGCCCAAAATTAGACTAAGACTAGGGGTGTGCAAGAACCGGCATGTATCGGAAATTAGTCCTGACCCGAACCAGAATGGACCGGTTTGGACCGACCCGGAGTAATCAAATCCGGTCTCCGGTCTTAACAAGTTATGGATTCCAGGTTCCGGTCCGGTCCGGTCAAAAATCATAAATAACCGGTCTGGACCGGAATTTTCAAATATATTATTATTTTTAATTTTTAATTTT